TATCTTTATCTTTTTATTTTATTTTTATTTTTGGTTGTTTGAGACAGGGTCTTGCTCTGTAATTCATGGCAGCTGTGAACTAACTGTTGTAGACTCTCAGCAATCTTCTTGCGTCTGTCTCCTAAATTCTGGGATTGCCACATATGCCTCCATGCCTGGCAGAACTAATCATCTTTTGTAGCTGAAATGTTTTTGGCTCAGAAATTCATCCCCTGTCCTTTAACTGTTTACACTATTGGTGAACTCGATGAGTATAGAAATTTTCTTAACTAAACTTTTGAACTATATCTTATTATTAGTCTATTAACACATTCTGATTGAAGCTATAGTTTTCCCTTTTGTCTCTTCTTTCCAAACACATGGCTAACCAAGAAACCATTTGGAATTTATTGCCTTCCTGATTTACATTTACTTTTGCTTCCTCTATTTTTTCCTACTACTGCTAAATTCCACCATATTCAACTCTTTTAGCTTTGTGCAACCTGCTTGCTGTGGAAGAATTTCCTGTAGTTCCAGAAGTTGCTTTGGTACCAAAATTCATTCTGATATAAAGCTTTATGTGGAAGGCAGCCACAGTCTCTGCAAGGCATAGGACAGAAATCTGATCCTATCCCTCCTAACCAAATCTTTCCCTTTGCATTTCAAAGGTAGTTTCCAAAATCAAGTTTTCAAGACTGTAGAAAGTTTGGAGTGTGAATTTGAAAAAGGAGCCTTGGCTTATCTATTAATATGTATGATGTGTCTTAATTATTAGGTCTTAATAAGCTATAGATGACCTGCTTATTTTCCATTAAGGCATAGGCTATATTGAACTACAAATCACTCTGAAGAACAATAATTTCCTACAAATACTAGTTTGTAATGATCTATTATTTTTTTTGTCCTTAGTAAGTGACTACCTCTGGGTTAAATATTTGACCTATGCAGTTTGTATTTCTAATGTAAACATTAAAATAACTAGCCCATTTTCCCATTCAGATTCAAAATTTAAATGAGAAGAGGAAACTTTCACAGTTGAAAAAATTATAGAATATATTAAACAAAGCAGTGTAGTACTGTTATGCTTACAATCGAATTTCAAAGAAAGAAGGGGCCATTCTGGAAAATGCTTAAGAAACTGAATAAAGAAAATGAAAATAGCATTTTACATAAGTGAAGAGATTCACAATCATAGTATACTGGGATCAGAATCTGAGAAGCTTGAATCAGTAGGAACATGTAAACTGTAATTGAATGAAATGTATGAAAATACTATATGGTACCTCTATAATATTTGAAACTTTTGTGCTTTATGTCTCAATTAAAATAAATTTTAAAATATAATTAAGAAAATTTTGGAGGCTCATTATGGATGGCCTGCAGATAAAAACTCTATGGGTCATAACTCATGGGGAAGTCATGCTTTTGTGGGTTTTATCTATGGCAGTACTATCAATTCTCAGGGTGCAGTATAGATAAGGATCCCCTTCTGCTTCTGGCAGGTAAAAGGTTAAAAGTATTCTTTTGAAATGAGGCCAGGACATTCTGGTCTTCTATCAAAACTTTCCTTCAAGCGAAGCCAGCTTATCAGTGTATAAACTGCTTTGGTTATACAAAACCCTGATCTACCTTGCAGAACAGAAATGCCCAACTCCAGAATACTCTAGACTTCTTCTCTTATCTAAAAAGAGGTAAAACTGAGAAACACATACTAAGATAACAGTTCAGGGGCATGGGCTCCTAAAAGACTCAAACCTAATGGAATTTATGGAATGAATTATGGAATGAATGCTGCTATATCACTTGGGCTCTGGTATGGTAGCAAGGGATTATAGCTGAAATAACTGAAAAGTCCAGATCCTATTTACAAAAGCACTATCTTGAAAACCTCAACAAAACCAGAGGCAACAAATGCTAGGAAAATTTAGCTTCTGGTACCTGTAGATATAATACTGTAAACAGTTGAACTCTTAGCAAGATAAACAAAAAATGCCACACTAAAGTTGCATTTACCATTTTTAACCAATATATTGTGTCGGACATTCAATAAAAATTAAAAGGTATGTTTAACAGCAACAAACTAAATAAGAAGAAAGTTCCCTGCACTTTGAAGCAATAAGCAAGTATCAGTGCCAGGTTCAGATATGGCGGACTGTAGAATCATCATACTGGTAATTAACATACAATGAAAAAACTCGATAGTATGCATTGACAGACGATTAACATGAGCAGAGACATGGAAAGTCTATGAAAATATCAAAAGAAAAAATTAGAAATTAACACACACTGTACAGAAATAAAAAAATGTATTTGATAAGCTCTTCACTAGACTGGAAGCAGAGAAATAAATAATTTATGAGCTTAATTAAATTAAAATAGAAACCACCTAAATTTAAATGTCAAAAGAAGAGGAATTAAAAACAGTATGATATTCAACTACAAAGATAAATTTTTAAAAACAATAGAATATATGTAATGAAAATAGCAGAAAGGAAACCTAAAATATTTAAAGCAATAATGCCTTATAATTTTCCAAATGTTATAACAAGTACAAACTCCTAGATATAAAACACTCAAAATACATGCAGCAGAGTAAACCCCAAAAAGTTCCATTAGGCATATCATAAATCTAACTGCAGAACATCAAAGAAATAAAATGAAAAAGACCTTACCTGTAAAGGAACAAGCGTGAGGTTTACAATAGATTTCACTTTAGAAAGCAAGGAGAGAATGGAGCAAAATACTTAATGTATTGCAAGAAAAAAAGAAAGCAACACTGACCTGGAATGCTGGATGTAGCTAAATTATCCTCCCAAAATGAAAGTAAAATTTATAAAAATTATGCAAACAAAAATTCAGGGGTTATGTCAAGTGTAGAATATGAAGATCTTAGAGAATTTAGGTGAAAAAATGCATGTGTCAGAAATTTAGATCTACATAACAAAAAGGAACATGTTAGAGAAAATTAAATGAAGATAAAATATCATTGTTCATTCCTAATTGACCTAACAAGAAATAGTTTAAAATAATGTCCATACTTATATAGACACAAGGACAACAGTGTTACCAGGAGCAAAATGGAGGAATAGGGAAGCCTTTGTTATAAGATACAAACATTGCCACCAGATTGTGGTTGTTATGGTTTATACTGATTGATTTCCTAACTCTGGTGCATTCACATTTTTGAAAGTTGGTTGGATTATAAGGACACTAGAGCTGACTTGCTGTTAGAAATGGGGCATGGTTAGTGGCAGGTCATAAAGGGCAAGATTT